TAAAAATTTGTACTAGCGTCATTATTTCCGGACATACAATGTCTTCTTTTGGCACTGTATGTGCATCGTTTCACAAAAGCACAGGTTTCCAAAATAATCGTCGATACAGGTTTTAAAACACTTCACAGAATCGGCCTCTATTAATCCTTCTGGTAGTGTATTCCATAAGTTTACGATTCTTCGTTCGATACAAAGCTGATGTGATACTTTGTTCATGCTGGGGACCCTGAGTTTGTAACGATGTCCTCGGGTGTTACAGGGTTCTCGCAGGTGAAATATTGGTTGCAGTATGGAGAAGTGATTCAAGTGTAGTACTCGATGGGTCATAATAAGATCAATTCTTACTCGGCGATAGGATAGTGTGTAGAGTCCGAGCCTTTCACAACGTTTTTCATACGGAAGCTTTCGTAGACTTGGTATCATTCTAGTTGCGATATGCTGTATTTTCTCCAATTTTTCAGTTTCCCACTGGGTTATCGGATGGTAAGCTGGGGCACCGTATTCAAGGATTGGTCTAATGAGCTAGGTGAATAGACGAGGGACGGTTTCTTCGGACCATGTGGAGAAACTGCGTCTTAATGCCCAGAGCATACGAAGTCCCGCACGGCACAATTTCTCTGTATTTTCTAGTGATCTTAAATCATATCGTGAGAGAACTCCTAAGTCTCTGACAGATGTGTTGGGATGGAGCAACTGGCCGTCCAAGGTGTATGATCGAGTGGCTGGACGTCTGGTGATACTGATGAACTCCGACTTGCTTGCGTTAAGAAAGATTTGCATTTCAGTGGACCACGTTGACAGTCGCTCTAAGTCACGCTGGAGGCGAGCGCAGTCGTCCTGGTTTTCAATGATCCTCCAGATTTTCAAATCATCTGCAAACAGGACACATGGTGACTGGAGCTGCTGCGGAAGATCGTTGATATGGATAAGAAATAATACCGGTCCAAGTACAGTTCCTTGAGGCACGCCACTGGTCGATGGGAACCATTCTGTCAGATAGTCATTGACCTGTACTCTAAACCTTCGTCCCACAATAAACTCTTGTATCCACTGAAGTAACGTGCCACTGATTCCGTATGTCCTCAGTTTACGAAGGAGTACCTCGTGGTTCACTCTGTCAAACGCCTTACTAAAGTCGATGTACACCACGTCAACATCCTTCTGTTCATTGAGAGCTCGAACCCACTGGTGGTTTGCGTACATCAAGTTGGTGATGCAGGATCGCCCTTTCGTAAAACCGTGTTGCGCTGGCGTCAATACGTCCATCGATTCGAAGAACGACAGCAGACACTTTTCCACAACCTTCTCGAGAACTTTGGATAATACCGAAGTCAAACAAATGGGTCTATAGTTCTCTATTTTACTCGGATCACCACCCTTGGGAAGCGGTTTAACTATCGAGCATTTCCAATCTTTCGGGACGGATCCTTCAGAGAGCGATCTATTGAAAATGTTTGTCACAGCTGGTGAGATGATAATCGATAGGGACTTGAGTATTACTGGGTGAAGTCCATCTGGTCCGGGGGGCTTTGCACCATTGAGGTTAACGAGCAGCTGATGTACTTCGACTGCATCACATTGTAGGCTGTCGAGCAAGACTTGCGCAACCTGTGCCGGTACTGGAACAGCCGCCGGTTTACTGGAAAATACAGTGAGGAAGTGCGTAGCCAGGGCGTCCGCGCGCTCCGCGCTTGAAACGAGTGTCTTCCTGTCTAATCTCTCTAAGACCGGTAGGTCGTCCCCAGGTTTCAGTTGACGTTTCAAGTAGGCAAATATTCGCTTGGGTGCAGTTGTGGCCGAGGATACTAGCTCCTCTTCGAACTGCCGGCGTTTCTTGATCTTTGCGGCGTTACATAAGTTACGCTGTTTCTTGTACACCGTGTAATCTTCATCACAACCCGAGCTGATGTATCTATCCCAAAGTTTACGACGTCGTCGCGCTAACTGTCTGTATTCCCTATCAAACCAATGCGGTTTGACAGGTCCGATTTTTGGATACTTAAGGGGAACGAACCGAGTACAGAGCGAGTTAAGCTTCCCCTTTATTAATGACCACCAGGCCTCAAGTGACGCATCATGTGGTAGTGTCCAATCAGTCTGACTTGCGGCTTGGACGAGTCCGTTGAAGTCCCCCTTCCAATAGTTGAATGTCGGCTTCTGTTAGTTGTAAAATGGTAACGACAGTTCTAAGCTTGCTACAATAGAGCAGTAGTCACTGTTCGCCAGAGGTTCGATGACTCTGATCTCTTTTAGCTTTTGTTCGCAGCTCGTAAACATTAGGTCCAGACAAGATGCCGAGTACGGAGTTACGCGCGTCGGTTGGATGACATGTTGCGTTGCCCCGATTTCAATAGTCATTTTAGCGAATTGAGCCTCAACGTTGCCATGACCGGGAAGAAGTCGAACATCTGGCCAAATTATCTTAGGTAGATTTAGATCCCCCATCAGTAAGAACTGAGGGCGGCTCATGTGCTTCTGTACATGTGGTATCCAATCGCAGCAACGGTTTAATGGGCTCCGGTAGATAACCCCCACTATTAGTTCTGCGCGCCTGAGACGGATTGTGCACCACAATTGCTCGCATAAACTATCCTCGCTCCGATAGGTACTGATAAGTTTGCCAGATAGTGACGATTTTATGTACAACAGAACACCACCGTGAGCCTTTGTTTTTCGGTCACATCGGAAACAAGAGTATCCTGACAACACGACTTCTTGGGGTATGACGTCGGAGTTCAGCCATGTCTCTGCAAGTCCTAAAATGTCCGGCCGCTCCGAGACAGCGAAGCGGCACAGTTCGTCACGTTTGTTCATTAGGCTGCACACGTTGGCGAATGCGACACGGAGGTCCTGGGAGGTACTGCAGGACGTGCCTGGAGGTTGAGCAACCGGTTGATACGGGTTCGTACGCCCTTCTTGATCACCCGAAAATTTACAACTTGTAAGTCAGTCTCACCTTCCTCTGTACGGCGTTTGAGCTCAATGACCGCAGTCTTCAAACGATCCCTGTCCTCGGGTTCCAAGTCTCGACGGATGTGAACTTTTATGCCTTTCAGCCTTGACAGACGAGACAGTATGAGCTGCGGCATATTAGGATTTGCAAAGGTGATCCTCAGAGGTCGACATGACTGGTTAGTTTTCTGGCCAAGTCGGATTACTTGTTTAATCGTCACACTGTCCTCGCCCACATCCAAGAGTCTATCGATGAGCCCCTGGAGGAACTCAACATCGTGATCATAACGTATCTGAGGGTTTTCATCTTTTGACTCCGGTACGTGGAAGACCATGAGATTATGACGCCTCAGCGAAATCAGTGATGAACCTGTGGGAGCAGAACTAGAGGCGCTTAACTGATTGGGTTGTTGTTTATCTGCAGGTGACGTCTGAACTTGATTACGTGGGCCCTTGCGCTTTTGAGTGGTCCATGGATCCTCGGTATTCAGAAGTTCACAGACAGGCTCTGAGAAATTCACGGACCGATCAGTGAAGCGGCATTTCGTAGCTTCTGAGTCTGAGTCTTCCATCGGTGGGAAACATTGAACCTGGGGTTCGGCCGGGGTCGAAGACGCTGGTGGTGGTGCAGATCGCGGAGTGACAACAGAAGGCGAGGAGACAGAGGTACTTTCACGAAGGCGTTTGATCCCACGTGGTGAACGGTTTGTTTCTATCTGAAAGAGATTTTCCCGTAGTTGTTTGCGGTCGCTGCGTATTCTGATGTCTTGTACCGCGACATTTATCACATATAACTTGAAAATCCGATGTCGGATGTCGAGCGATTTTCGAAACACGTCAACGGATAAACCAATGCACGAAATATGGAACAAAACATCACAGCTGAAGCACCGAAGTGCATGAGCCATATTTCCCACAACTTTCGAACACGAACCGCAAGTAGCTTGAGACGGCATCACAAGCTAGAGCAAATCCAAGATGGCGGACAGAGATGGCAGTATGGCAAATCAATGAGATCTGCGGAATTAGCCAAAGAATAGCCGCCAAATTTGCACCGCTTGGAAAATACGCCAAAAGAAGAATAGTGGTGCACAATTCACACAGATAAAACGCTGCTAACACAGTAATCTGAGGCAAAAGTAGTATCCAGCATACGTTGATCCTAATAAAAACTGTACCACTCCTATTGAAGCCACCAGCAACGATACAGATGGAGCATTATACCGTAGGTTGCAACTCCGAGACAAGACCATTTGCAAACGGTTTCAACTCTGACAATGTTTCGTCAGGCGCCACATGAACGTTCCCAGCTAAAAACCACTAGGAAACTTTGGTTTACATCTCTACAAACAGAAGCTTGTTGAAGCCGTTGAGTAAGCGGACAGTGGTTAACCCGATTTACACAAGTTTTTGTTAATCTAGGTGACCATACCTCCTCCGCTATGCTGGAAATTTCCTGGGTCTCGACTTTAATCCGGCGAAAGCCATTAAGTCCAGGGACCCCATCTTCAATGTCCCGATGTAGCCAACTTTCCTGTGACATCACTATAACTGCGTTCGTTAATCCTCTCCTTTGTATAAGGTTCTCCCGTTCAATTTTCCCGAGAAGCGATCATACATTGTTGTGCAGGATAAGCAGAATTCGCTTCTTGTTAGCAAACCAGTGTCTGAGTCCGACCTGCTAGCCGGCACAGTGCTTCTTCCTCTTCCCTAAATTTTTTCTTGCTACTTCATTTGAATGCAGCCCTGATTTTGCGACCGCATTCGACTAGAGGTGACTTTCGGACAACTTCACGGAGCCACACCAACTGATCAATAGAGTAAGATAACATTGCTTACCTTAAGCTTGACTCGCTTACACATATAAAGTAATACATTAAAACACGAAGCTCCGCAGTGGGTGTCGTGGAACGATATTCTAATGGTAACGGTAGCGGTCGTATTTAAAAATATTGCTTGCCCAATAGCTGCCTTATTCCACAGCCGCATCTCTCTTGTCTCCTAAATATCTGTCTGCAAGTATACTCCTCTTTTATTCTGACTTTCAGGCACTCTACGTCCTGACCTTATCGAATCCGCGTCGCAACAAGCAAGTCTGAGGGCCGACGTCATCAAAACGCATCACAACACAACATCTCTTGTTCAGGATCTGCAAAAGCGCGTAAGCACAAAGCTCAACTGATGTTTTGCTCGCTGACCACCAGCACATTATCTTGATATTTCTGTAGATGACCGCGTTCGAATGTTGCTACTCTCAAATCAACTATTTCTGGCGACGTTAGTCACTGTCCTATTGTTAGTTACCTATTGTCAAGGTGCTCACTTGTGCTCTGGTTCTTTCTAGTTCACTCTGCACGATCATTCCTTTACACTGAGGTGCGTTTATTTTTTGAACTTATAGCCATAGGAAATCCGATCGAAAACCTAGTCACTTTAGTGCGCTCCATCTTTCTGAATGATGATCATTGATCACTCTGTAAGGAGAGTGTAAGGAGTTAAAAATCCTATTTGGGACAACGGATCTGAGAAGCTAGCGTCACTTTCCTCCGACAACTTACCACTCATTATTCGCTTTACAGCATATTTTTCATTACATTTTCTGTCTGATTTCAAGTGCCGTTTATTTTCGTTTCCATGGTACCGGTCTATCATTTGGTTGCTGATCCGGGCTACGGTTTTACTTAATTACCCACAAGTCTGACGGGTATGTCGATCATCTCCGATTCTGTTTTCAAAAAGTGATGATTAACGAACCTTACTAAGGCAATGCGAGGCTGGTCACAGACTTTTTGTACAAATTGGGTTTCAGCCGCCGAGTCTCTGAAGTTTCAGCACACTGAAGCAGGCGAACTTTACTCTGTCGGTTAATTATCCTGAACGATGTGCGAGGATTTTGATATATGAATCTGTAGGATATGCATAGCCATGGAGCTAGCCAACAGCTGGTGACCATTCTCGACTGTATTACGTGATATGTACCCTGAAATCCTAGTCGACAACCTTCTCTCAGTTCGCCCACATACTTGCTACCGCAAGTGCAAAGAAAAAAGATTTTGGCACGTGCTAAATTGCTCCATATGTCAAAATCCCCGCGAACCTCTAAAGCTGATTAGCCGGCAGAGCTATGTTCGCCCACTTCACTTTGCTACAGCTTCAGCACCTCCGATTTTACTTCGTTCCCTATTCGCTGCAACCTTTTCGCCTAACCCATTCTCTGCTGTTTTTGATTTTTCCCATTTTTACTTTTATAGCAAATAGTAAAAAAATACTCACATGGGCCTTGGATTTTGAACATTTCGATTATTTTAGAAAATATGAGAATTTTTCTAATTTTCCTCTTTTAAGGACGCCAACACCAAACGGTACCGTGACATGGGCATTAAAAAAACATGGACCGCATTTTCTGTTTGCAGATTTGAAGTGACAATGTTTACTTTTTCTTTCAAAGAGATAATATAGCAGACATTTAATACGAAAGTATATGTAGCCCAGATTTACATAAAAAGTGTGTTCTATTGTTCATGCGTGCTATGCCACAGAGCACGCTCCGAGTAATGACACACTTGACAAAGTAGATTAGCCTACTTCTCATAGGACAGCATCTTCTTGGTCTTAGCATTGATTCCAATTAGTAACCAAAGCAAGGTTTTCTGATTCTGTATTCAACGTTTTGTCGTCCGCTGCTGGGTGTAAGGTGATTTTGTGACTCATCTATCTATACTTTATACACTTACAAGCAGACTTTCTGGCTGACTCTTTTGAAAAAAGCATGTCATGCTACTCTTGTTCGTGTGCACGTGATTTTCTCCATACAACACAAGTTTGGTTCATTGCAGTATCAGGGAGAAAAACGAATAGCGAATACTGTTCATATATTGACAGACATTTTGGTCCAATCGATCCACTCTTCCCATTGCTAAGGATACTAGGTTCGCTTATTGTGGGCTTTTTGTCCTTCGCCGCCCACCTTTTTATTTTTCTCAGAACGTATGCAACAACAGAGTTGCTGGCAAGCGTCACAACGGACTCATCATTCCAGGACAAAACGGACACATTATCTCGCTTGTCAAGTCTATATTCATACGTACTTCGGATTAGTTTTTTCAGGGCCTCCATGTCGATGGGGCACTTGCCTGTCCTAGTTACTCGAACCGTTCCCGTTGCTCTTATGCTTTTGTTGGTTAAGGCTTTCATGAGCGGCAATCCTGTAAAAGTTGTCAAAAAAGATGTGATAGGACCGTCTCTTCGGCAGCCTGTCTCCTAGGCCCATAACAATACCATATCCCAAACTTAATGTCTTGTCATATTGGGTCACAGCTCCCTAATATAGATAGACAACATAGCCTAGATGTGTTGCAGTGACCCACCATTTATACCCGAATCTAATAGGTTTTCCTCTGGTTCAGTTCATGCTGCCCGTAATATGGTATCATACCTTAGTCTACGCACAGATTTTCTTCCTTGAGTAAGCATTTTGTAAATATTTCCTTAAGAAGGCTACATAGTGGACGACCGTTAGCAAATTTGTCGTTTGCTTGGAGGCTGTCATTATTTGCTAGATGGAGATACTTCATGATTGTGTCAAATCTGTTCCAATTCATTGTTTGACTGATGGATGCATTGTGTGGGTCCAAATACATATGCGTTCGTGGTAATGGATTAAAACCATAAACAGACAGGTACTGTGAACTCATTGGCAATACGTCGCGCACCAAGCAGAAGTCATGTGTTAAAATTTGCGCACCTAATCGTCAGCCCTCGGTAGCTCAGTGGTAGAGCAGCGGGCCGGAAATTCGTGGACCGGGGTTCGATTCCCCGTCGAGGCACATTATTGTGCGTGAATTTTAACCGTGACTTCTACTTTCTACAAACTTTACACAACTCACAAACATCCAAACTTAATAAACAGAATAGCTAGAAAAACAGGCAGTTCAACCGTGGATCTACTGAGTGAATAGTCACTTTTTGAACCGGCATACTCAGTTGTTTACCTTATCATGTGCTTAATAATATAGTTAGCCAAGAAACATTCAATTTACTTATACGATGTAAGATCCTCTTCGGAGAGCTTAGGCGCACACTCAGACCATTGCCTCTGCGTTTCTGGTCTTAGACATAAGTCTTCTTTCTACCATAGCCTAGGTCTGGTATCCTTTTGAGTTTTTACTGAAGTAATAAGCATAGGAGCAGAAACTGCTGCTTTCTGGTTCTTCCTTAGATGATTCGCCCGCCATGTTTACTGTAATTAATGATTCATGAGGAGATGCTAACTTCAGCCTCACTGAGTAGCTACCTTGCTGACACATCAAGAAATCCAGCATCCCGATTCAATCCATTCATCTAATCTACATCAGTTTCGCCCTACACCCGACACCGTTACCTTCTTCAATCATAGTGACAAGATCTTATACAAACTATTTTAAGATTACTCTTGACGAATCAGATTTAACTAATTGAACTACGGTAAATACAACTTTAATAGAGACGATGAGATTAAAAAGGAAATAACATTTTATTAAAATCCAGAATGTTCACACCGCAATAGTAGAAGACTAATAATATATCGGAATATTTATAAAATACGGACATATTTTCCATCGTCTTATCAATTTATTTATCCCAAATTACATGTCACGGTATCATTTGTTGCTAGCGTCCTTTAAGAAGGACAGACGGGTGGAGCTCATCGATGCAATAACTATCACACATTTTAAATGTTTGTCTGTGACAGTATGCTCTAGACATGTAACTTACTATGGCAAAAATCTGATGGCTTTTAATGGATAATTATTAGAGTACACCAACCTTTTCATATTTTACCTTTTATCCACATTTTGTATTCGTACAACAAAATAACATCTCGAAAACGGAAGTCCATCTCTTGATTCATCACCAGACCATTACAAGCATATGAGGCTAAAAATAAAAATCGACCCAGTTAGTTCACAAGGATTAGATCACGTGGGGTCAATGTCAGAGACAAGAAAACGAACTAGGTCTTAGTGGGCTAGTTGTTTACTACCGCGTCCATCGCAATGAGGCTGAACCTTACCGTGATGCGATGGTTTGTGTGCCTCAGTGATTCATTGAGCTATGCTAGGTGGTGCTTTTGCACCTTCAGTCACTCGTACCAGATTGGTCAATGGTTAGAGGCCAGACAAACTCAGCCTGCTGGTCCTCCAGGTTGGGGGTTGGAATGAGGGTGGCACCTTATTCATTAAAACGGGCTCCTTGTAGCCCAACGCTGCCTTGCGGTCAGGTTTTTGAACCTAAGGCTTTGGTTGAGAACCCTAATCGTTCTCCTGTCTAGGCCTGGGCAACCTGACAGTATCCTGCTCACGCAATACAATTTATTTCTCGCTTTAAACAATTTCTTGGTGCTCTGGCTACCGCAGAGGATAATCAACGGTGCCCTATCTGTTGCATCGAGCAGGGTGGATAAGGGTTTGGATGCTACTGCTCAAGCCTTCCCGTCTTCTTATTCCCCCACTTGCGCTTTTTCACCCTTATCGTCCCGTTCCAGCTTCACTTTTATCCCCGAGTTTGTAAGCCTCCGATTCTTGGCCCTCCCCTATCATGCTTTGCTAGGCGTTTATCTTCTAGCTTCAACTCATGCAAACGCGGTGCGTCACTCTTTCCCTGCCGACAAGCCCATGTCCAACCAAGCGGTTAAGCCCAGTTCATAGGCTTTCATTTGGAGCCCTTGATCCTCTTTCAGATTGGCATACCTCAACATACGCACGTTGCTACAAATCGGTCAACAGGCAGCACTTGCTTGAACATTAGAGACCCTCGCCACCGATATCTGCTGCTTATCGGTGATTTGCCTGCAAGACTCGAGCTCTGTGCTCACTGCGATCCCTTTCAGAAGACACAAGCAGTATTTTCTCATCGCACCTATCCAGTGACGATGCAGCTTCGAGCACAGGCCGAGCTGGTGTCGGTATTGCCCTGAGTCCCTGGGCTGAAGTTGCTCTGCTTGATTGGATCCCAGTCAGTAGCCGGTTGTGTGCGGTCCGATTGGCTGGCTCGTTCGAAACTTCGAAGGCGCGCGGGACTACTAGGTGTCTATTCATGATCGCTGCCTACGCGCCCACAAACTGTAGCAATGATTCGGTAAAAAACGACTTCTATGGCCAACTGACCCAGCTCCTTCGCCGC